CATAGATTTACGAAAAAAAATTATATTTGAATAATTGCACATACATAAATTCAATGGGTTGTTCTAAATGGTGAAGATAAACACTGGTGATAAATTTGCACTTGCCCACGATGGACATACAAAAAGCTAGCAAGCTAGCTAGGTAGCAAGGGCACATTAGCAGTTAGTTACCAGTTGCTCCATCCACAGTTAAGATGTCCGTTTGATGTTTTGCGACTCAAACTTTCGCAAAACCGTAAAGTCCAACGAGAAAAAAGAAAACTACATAGAATATACAAGATTAAATAGTCGTACCACAACAGAATTTGAGACCTGTGATTAATGTATTGAACGCAATGATGGTGAGAAAATATTAAAGTAACTGAATAGATTTTAAGAACTTCAACTGCAAGTAAAAACATATTGATTTAATTATGTTTGTGTGGAACAATTTCAGGTTAAAGAGTTTCTGTTGTACCAAAACCAAAACAGCCACAGCACATTCGCTGTGGCTGTTCCAAATTTAGCTTCATTTGCAATCAGTGCCGTAAAAACCAAGGAGTATCCACTCTGTAGAATTTATAGATTACTTAATAGTTTACCTTACTGATGAAATATGACTAAATTCCACTTAGTAGTTTTGAGATGATTGTTTTATTCAGAAATGAGTAAAATGCAATTGGTATAATTTTATAAAAACATTCTATATCAAACTACACAATGTCATTTTTTTTATGAATAGGCTACTAGAATTGTCTTTGACGGCCTGATTTGACAAACTCCATGAACGCCCTGCATTGCTGGGCGTTAAACCAACACCCACTCACAGACACAAACATCCCAACTGACTGAGCGTCGCCCTCTGACACACACTTCCACCATGCTGAAACCATGACGACACAGGAAGTCCCGACTCTCCTGGTCTCTCAGCCTTCGGCTGCTGTTTTCTTTCCCACAGGTAACTGGTCAAACAGGTTCATGTGTTTCTACTGCGCTGCGAAACACAAACACAGCTCATCCCCCCCATCTCCTGTCTGACTTTTTGTTCGAAAAAGACTGCATTTCTGAGTTTCCCTCCTTTTGGTTTTTATCTCAGGAGTGAAAAAAAACATCAAGTAGCATGAAATAAATAAATAAAAATATATCAACCTGCATTAACCAGGATGCAACAGAAACACTTATGATTAAACCTTTTAGGTTTTCTGAGAGAGAAGCTAGCATGCATTTCCTGGGAGCCCCTCATGAACCCCCCCGTAACCCCCTATCCATTCCTCTGGGTTTCATAGCAACTTGGCACGGACAACATTCCTGTTGTGCTGCAGCTCCACCAGCAGCATGAATCTTCTACAAAGCATCTCTTTCACTATGTTGCCTGCAGAGGAGCAGCAGCCTCCCTCATATGAGCAAACTCAACTCAAGCCTTCAGGCAGGCGGAAAACTTTCTTCTAGTACATTAAAAAACACATCTATAAATAAAGATTTCTTCCTACTTTTATTTAATTAATTTTTTTTAAAGACTGATCAAATGTATGTTTATTTTCCGTAGAAAGTAGGACAAAAATGTTTAAAATTTTGAGTTTTGATGCCTTTTGTAGCTTAAAAGCTGAAGTAGTGTTCGACATGTCGCCCTAAAATAAAATGTTTAGTCCTGTAAGTTTCACAGCAATTCTTTTTCTGTGTGCAAGTACATGTAACAAGTGTTTTATATACTTTCTTTCCGGGGAACAGTTTTCTAATCTTTTTGGGGCGATTTTAGCCATTTACAAACTGGCAGTTTTTGTATTTTATTTTGGATAACATTGATTTAATGCTACAGTCTTATTATTTCTCTATGCTAAATGAGACGTCAGTCCTCTTCCTCCTCGTCACCATCCGCAGCAGCGGCTCCACCAGAGAGAGGAAGCACAGCAGAAAGAGACACCACCCAGGCAGAGAGATGGAAAGATTCACCAAACATTTCCTGCCGCCAGCAGAAACGCTGAGAGCAACATCAATTATCCATCAGAGCTCACTGGGAAAAGAGTCTGAGGCAGGAAAACGGGACAGGAGGAGAAGCAAATGAGGACAGGAAGAGGAAAAGAGGACAGAGGAAAATAAAAGCCCTACTAGTAGCATTAGCTTAGCACCAATGCTAAGCCTTTAAACCGACAAACAGTTCACCAAGTAAAGTTAGAAACTGGTAACAATAACGGTAATATTCCCTTGTTTTAATCCCTGAAAATGTCTCGTTTTAAAGCTAATTTTATTGAATTATTGTGACTTGCCATCCTTTAGAGACAGTTGCTACTGGAAAAAAATGACATTTGTTAGTTATAATCTTCATTTAATGGTAGAACATGAAGTGAGAAAGTTCCCATCCGACATGTCTATCAGTGTAACGTCTATAGCTAAAGCTAACTCAGGTCATGTGATCTAATGATGGATGTTGGAGGACGCCTAAGGAATCGGCGTCTTTCACTTGCTGCAGGGTTTTTCTTGATGTCACTTTTTTCTCTAAATTATTAATCAGACAGACAGAAAACAATTAATCTTTTATCACATGGATGCAAAATCATTGTCTACGCTTCCTCCATGAAAAATCACAGTGTCTGAGAATGATCTAATTCCTGAGTGAAACATGCCTGGGCCTCAATGTCAGTTTTATATCAAACTGCAAAAAAAAAAAAAGAGATATAACTTTTTATCTCTCCAAAGTCTTCCCCTCTGTGGGGATTCAAGCAGCCAGAGGGAAGAAATTAAGTGGAAACTCCTGAGAGAGACGGACAGAAAAAAAACAAAACAAAACAAAACAAAAAAAAAAACAGACTGGATCCCAGCCAGGACGTAACACGCTCTGCCGATCTGTTCCAAGCGGTCAGCAGCTTCCCTCCGACAGCAGCTGAGGCAGCTTGTGATCTGCCGCTTGGCACCGAGAACCGGGCAGAACCAACAGATCACACAGTCAGCGGAGAAGCAGTGGATCAGGCGGAGTGAAGCTGCAGTGCGCAGCGAACAGATAACAACGCCAGACAACAAAATGACTCAACGTTTATCAGAAAGCATCACAAAGCTGACGGAAATGGGACGATGCATTCAGGGACTTGAGGAGAGAACATCCAGAACAAGAAAACAGAACAAAACAAAAAAAATCAGTTCAAGTAAATTTGGAACAAGGCCAAAATAAGACACTGTGTTTACACAAAAGAAGAATAAAAGTAAACAGTAAACAGTGTACTGCATTTTGAATTGTTTCAGTCATGTTGTAGTCATTCTAATCACTGAAAAGGTTTTGGAACAGTTTTGTTGAATACATAACACTCGTGTCCAGATCTCCTACATTCAGAACATAAATAGTTGCAATCCGAGACGAACAACTGAGACTTCACCAGGTTTTAAGAAGCAAGAGATGAAAGCTCTTTCATCCTATTGTGGTCCGTTTCAACAAAAACACAGCTCGCTTGTTAGGTTCTCATCAATCTGATGGTTTTCGGTTGAAATCCGCAACAGAAGAAGAACTTCTGTCTTCTTTGGTGGTTGAGTTTCACAATACGACCAACAGCACTGATAGACAAAGATATGTTTTTCTACACACCCGATTGATTAAAATGCTCCCTGTTTAGAAGGTCTAAAAACTAATATATTTTGATTTTTAAAGACTTTTACCCATTACACTACACAAACAATGTAAATCTATGGCAACAAAATCCACAAGGGCTCAGTAGAGTGGACTCCCACCTATTTGTGTGTTTGTCTGTGGAATTTAACGCAAAATTGTTTGCAAAAAATTGGTGGATTTTTTCGTAGAGCATATTAAAAAAACATCTAAAGAAATACCTAGCTACAATGCTATTTGACATGCTATTGGCTACGTTTGTAAAGCAGCCAATTAAGAAGTGCTATTCATTTTACTTGGTGCTGATTGGCTATTAATATTAGCTTTTGTGGTAGTGGTAACACCTTTCCACCATGTCAATTAACGCATGTTAAGGAATATTTACTTAATGAGCTATTAAACAAGGTTGGTACAAGTCTCATGTAAACTGTAGAACAACACTTTATCAAATGGATGAATTGTCCAATCTTACCAATAAAAAGTGCATCATCAGATGAGTACGGAACAGAAACAGGAAAGTAAAACCACAAGAGAAACAAACAGAGCCTCGAAAATCACCTTAAAAGAAGCAATTCTGAAGAGCAAAAAATGACCAAATAACAGAATTTGTGGAACAAATCCGCCAGATAACAGAACCTGCAGAACAAATCTCAAATCAAATTTTTATTTTTATTTTTTGTTTTAAACTGCAAAACCAGTCCCAAAGTAACAACTAGCAACACAAAAATAAGGACAAAGAAAGCCCCAAAAGGATCTGAGGTTTAAAATAACTGGTGCCTTAAGAAAAGCTGAAAGCCTCACATGACAGAACCATGATGTTCCACGCTGCTCTGGGAGCCACTTGAGGAAATTTAAAGCAGTGGGACTTCAACATGAGAATAATGGGGCCAAAGATGTAAAGAATGTGGCTGTTCAGAAAACACATAATTGGCTCTGGAGACATTCCTCACATTGTCTCTGAGCTCAGGAAAACAGAACAGCCCCTCTGTCACTCTGCACACTTGACTTACAAACACAACAGACAAAAAGACAAACAAATGTTTTCTCTTTTACTCAACACAAAAATATACAGTATTTGTAGTTGAGGTGTGAAATGTTCACACAGCATAATTTAAGAACGATTTCAATTTGTTAGAACGGTTGTAATTGTAAAAGAATCAACTTCTTCAATAATTTTGCCCTTCCACTGGAGGTCAGAGGCTTTGCTGATCGTTTCACAGCATCAACTCTGCAGAGAACACTGCGGTCCATCCTTATAGGCCATTTTTATCTGTAGTTACTTTACTATTTAACAATATTTCTCCCCTACCTTACACCTAGTGGAATTCTGTTTCACTTAAAGACAGACATTATTGCGCTACGGTGACATTAAATGCTGATATTTATATGCTGGCATTTGCGAATTCTTCTCATGGAGAGTCACACTCACCTGCAGACACTCCGAGCATCAGACCCAGACCAGAATCCCGGAAATGTCGCCGCTGTTATTTTTTCTTTTCTTTTCTTTTCTTTCTAAATCATCAGTCAGTAGTTCAGATGTGTTTCAGTTGAATCCAACACGAGTCAGTCTGACGGAGACACACGAATCCGAATTAGAACGATGAAGAGCGGTAAAAATCCTCCCGGAGAACCGGGAAGAGAAGGGATGCGAAGCTGCGGGAGCCTGTGGTCTCCTCTGCTCTCCGCCCGGGGCCTGTGGACGCTGCAGCACGGGGTCTCCGAGAGATGTTTGTCACCTGCAGGGGTTTGCCTCTGTCCCTCGCGCGTCTAGGCGAGAATACGTGTTTGGTTAAATCCGCGGAGAGCTGGCGCTGCTCTTCTTGATAGAGAGCCGAGTAGGAGCTGCTGCCGCTGCGAGCTGCTGATTCATTCACTCACACACGCACACACTCACAGCTGAGCCGAGTGGGTTTGCCAAGTCGAGTGGAGACACAACCCAGCGCTCACAGACCGAAGAATTTAACCTTTTAAAGGTACACAGCGCAATGCAACGAAAAGCTCCGGTCTCACTGTGGAGGAGGAGACCACCCGCACACCCGAACCGAACAGTAAGCTACTGAGTCACTGCTCCGAGATTTTGATGATTGGGCAATTCGGAGGTCACTCCTCTCGAAAACAGGAAATCTGAGCCGTCGCTGGACAAACGAGAAGTAGATATCCGATGTCCCGTTTGGGATGATCTGGTCTGTAGAGGGAAATGTTGGAAGAAAGAGGAGTGGCTTTCAAATACGTTGCATTAATTTGTATTAGTTATGATGGCAGCAGATCGAAACGCATTCGGAGGAGAAATGGACTAGAAAACAAACAGTGGCGGTTCTTGTATGAATGCTGGCCCGGGCAAAGCTCCTCCCTCTGCACCTGATGGTGCATGTGGAATATTGAGAAACAAGTGTTCTTTCAGTGTTAAGAATATAAGGTTTATTTATTTTATTTTTATTTTTTTTTTTCAAAATTCAAGCTTGACAAGTTTCTATATTGCTGTTCATCTGAATGCCTACAAAGGTTACTTTTTGCATATTCATACAAAGAATAAACTTTTGCAGACTTTTTTTTTCTTTTACAGAGTTTATGAACGGAGTGTAATTCAGTTCAGATTTGATTAGCATTTTAGATTTTGAATCTAAAATGCCCTAATAGTGCCCTAATCCTTTTAGGGCACTAAAAGGATTAGTGCCCTAATCCTTTTTAGGGCACTAAAAAAGCATTACTCAAAACTGAAAAGCAATTTGAAAAGTGGTGTCTTGTATGAAGAGCCATATCACCAGGGCACCACTATCAAAGAAGCACTACTGGTTGCTATACATAAATAAAAATAAAAAAAACACTGCTGACTTAAAATGAAGAATTTGAATTTCAACCTGATTCCTTCAGTTTATTTTCTCAGTTTTCGGCTACATTTGCTTTTCTTTCGGAGTGAGGACTCTTGTCAGTGAACAGATTCATTAAACCCTCAGTCTGAAAGGTCACACACCTTTAAGTCACTGAAGGAATGTAAACGGTTTTATAGGGTGATTGCTGTATTTTGAATTCTTTGAAAAATAACCTGAAAAAAATCCAAATCGCCCCATAAAACCTGTAAAAAAAAAAAAAAGTTGTCACTGGGTGAAAAATTTGGAGTGGTATCTGGTGAATGTACGTCAGAAGTCCCATTTTAGTTGCACCATTTGGGTCTAATGCAGTTGCTGATCTTTTTACACAAAGAAGTGATGCTAAAATACAGGAAAATGTGGCTTTTGAGTCAGGATGATTGAGGCTTCAGATCTAGTTAAGGCTTCAAGCTGGTGGTGTTGCACTGAACCCTAGTGGTCATAAAAAAAAATCAGTTAGTTTCCTTCCCTTTTTTACTGTTAAACCAGATATATTTCTAAAACCAAAAGTTCTTATATTGGGATTTTATAAGATAAACCAACACAAAGTAGTGCATTTGCAAGTGTGTGTAGCTAAATATATATCAGAAGAAAAACTTTAAGAGGCTTGAGAATGAGGCAGAGTTCCCCTTCCAGCGGAAAACAACCTAAAACATATACATATGAAATTGAAGAGCCCAATTGAAGTCCAGAGTATCCAGTCCAACAAAGATTGACCTGCTTTCCAAGGAAAAATGGGCAGATATTTCATTCTCTACTTTAGAGGTGCAAAACTATTAGATTTTTTGCACAATACTGTGAAATTGTCTTCCATTTACCTGTTATGCACTAATGTTGTTTTGGTCCGTCACTTAAAATCTCAACTGAGATACCTGTTTCTGGTCGTAATGTGAGGAAAACGTGAAACGGACAAAAGGGTATGAATTCTTTTGCAAAACACCTTTCACTTCAATATGTTTGTATTTCATCAGCGAGTCGATAAGAGAAATAGGCCACTCTGAGAGCATGTGTGCAAAGGGCAGGGAATTCAGTTACAGGTTAATCCATCCCAAATGTTCCTATTTTTATGTTTCTTGCATTACACTCTGCACTCTGGAATACCCATGTGTGATGCCAAGAAGATGCGGACTCTAAACCCAAACGTTAATTGTAAGAATTTGAACTTGAGTTGGTCACTGCGTTATGAGCAAGGCATGTTTTATAGAAAAAAGTTAGCATAGCTGCCAATGACGGCAGATAAACGATTTCCCTGTAATTATAAGTTGTTTCTCCATCCTTAGCATATTTAGCAGTGAGTGAAACGATATTTAGCATATTTAGCAGTGAGTGAAACAATTACGATTTCCCTGTAATAAGTTGTTTCTCCATCCTTAGCATATTTAGCAGTGAGTGAATGAAGTTGAATGACAGCACGAAGACCCTCCTATGGGTTCTGATTGGTTATTTTTGGTCAGAACAATGCAGTACTTTAGATAGTAATAGTAGTTCAGGAAGGAGATGGAGGAGATTGATTGTTTTCAATGATTATCTGTCTCATAAACTGTCACGACATGGTGACAGCTTTAACAAACATGGAAAAAACATATTTTTCATTTAAGTTATATACTGCAGCATGAATAAAATTGGATTGCTTTATATGTATTTTCCACGTTGCCTATGACTGTTGCTCGTGAGGAGAAACATTTCAGTAATCTAAAACTAATAGAAAATAATTAAGCACTCTACTTGCACACTGTATGTGGACTGTTGCATGTAAAATTGATAAAATTGCGGTAAATATTGTGCTAGTATCAGTATTGAACCAAAGAAAGCAAGTTGCAAGCATTTAAAATTTAAACATTTTTTATGGGTCAAAAAAAAAGACTCAAAAAATTGTAACAGCAGCTGTGCAGGGGGGCCCAATCTAATATTTTGTCAGGAGGCCCAAAATTCCTGGCGACGCCCCTGGTTCCAGCTGTCGGGAGAAGCTCAGAAGTGAAGTTAAAAGCTGAATGAAGCTTCATATCAGGAAAAGGAGTCTGAAAACAAAGAATCAAAAGAGCTCTGTGAAAAAGGGGAGTTTTAAAGACAGCACTCAGCTTTCAGAGAAGCAATCAACTAACTGCAGTGCATTCTGGGTAAAAGCGGCAGACAAGTTTGTAGTTCCCATCTGATTGAACAATTCCAGCTCTAAGCAGGGCTCAGAAGTGAGCTTAAAAGCTGAACCAAGCTTCATTTCAGAAAAACTGAGTTATAAAATAGAGAAATAAAGAAGAAAATAAAAGAATGTGATGAAAAAAGGAACTCTACAATCAAAATTCCAATCTTCAGAATAAGATACAAGAAATAATCCTGCATCCAGTGGAAGTGAGCTGAAGAAATAAAATAAAACATGATAATCCTCATCCTTTTCAAAGAAAGCAAAGCAAGTAATTAAAATGTTCTGAAAATAAAATAAAAATACTGATCTTTTATTAACTGGATGCCATTTTTATATTTTAGTTTATATAAACTTGCATTTTGGAACAATGCAAGAACATAAATGAACCATATATTTGTATAAAACTGCATGTAAAGCTCAGTTTGATTAACCAACTGTAACAACAATAAAGAGATTTGGTAAAACACACTGACCATCGAGGTAAGGTCAGTGTCTGGCATAAAACAAGTTCCTGCGAGGAGGCGCCATAATGTTACTGCGTGGGAAATTCCCACCACACTTTCTCACGAACTAAAACACGACAAAAACAATATAATAGCAGAAATAACATGACATAGATTAAACATATTTCAATAATATGCAAAAAAGAAAACCATATAAACATATTTTATAAAGTGCATAAATATATGCAAATGCAAATATGTCAGTTATGACATCACTCACTGTGATGTCACAATATCATTCTCTTTTGTTATGACATCATAAAACAGTCTTAAGACTGTTGAACTTTCCCAAGATCTTTCATTCGAGCACTGAAGAAAGACTGGCAACTTGTTCTAAAACTTGCACAACTTGTTCTCAAACTTGTACGATGGAGGATCTAGAGTTTATTGAGGAACTTGAGGAATTTTATCTCAAGATACAAAGCAAGAGGTTACAATTTTTGAGTACAGAGGAATTACTAGATGAGATTGCAGAACTGATGAAGAAACTTAAAAGACTTTACGATTTGGATGACGATGAGGAAAATGAGATAGTGGAGACTTTAATCCACCATCTGCACCAAGAACAGCAGAATCAGGAGCAGAGTCCACCAAGGAGTGTGTGGACTTTTATGAGTGATTGGGGAGAGTCATTCATGAGCGGCTTCAGTTTTGGCTTGGGTTTTGGCGCAGCTGCTGGCATTGTACTGACTGTGTGTTGTAAACTCCTGTCCTAAACACTGTTCTGAATCTGGGTGGTGCTTGAGGGAGGGGTTCCCGTCGATCTGATCTTCAGTTGCAGAACCTGGCTCTTGGGACGTGGAATGTCTCCTTTCTGGGAGAGATTGGGAGAGGGATTCCTGCCTCAAGTGGAGGAGTTTCAGTATCTGGGGATCTTGTTCACAAATGAAGGAAAAAGAGAGCGGGAGATCGACAGACGAATTGGAGCAGCATCTGCTGTGAAGCAGACGCTGTACCGGTTTGGAGTGGTGAAGAGAGAGCAGTGAAGCTCTCGATTTACCAGTCGATCTACGTTCCCACCTTCATCTATGGTCATGAGCTGTGGGTCATGACTGAAAGAACGAGGTCCTGGATACAAGCGGCCGAAATGGGTTTCCTCTGCTGGGTGTTTGGGGTCTCCCTTAGAAATAAGGTGAGAAGCTCCGTCATCTGGGAGGGACTCAGAATAGAGCCACTGCTTCTTCAAGTCGAGAGGACCCAGTTGAGGTGGCTCGGGCATCTGATAAGGATGCCTCCTGGGCGCCTCACTGGTGAGGTGTTCCGGGCACGTCCCACCGGGAGGAGGCCCCGAGGAAGACCCAGGACACGCTGGAGGGACTATGTCTCTCGGCTGGCCTGGGAACGCCTTGGGGTTCCTGGAGGAGCTGGAAGAAGTGGCTGGGGAGAGGGAAGTCTGGGTCTCCCTTCTGAAGCTGTTATCCCATGACCCAGGAACAGCGGAGGAAAGTGGATGAATGGACAAAGGTTTTTGTTATCATGCAGTTTCTAAGGGCAGTAAGAGGATGAGGAGGTTCTACAAGCAATTCTACGGATGATTTTTCACTTTTACTTGTTTTGCACGACCTGTGGAGGGTCAAAAGTCAAGTTTTATTCACCAATTAGTTGTTTACTCTGTTTAATTCCCTGAAATTGATTCACTTACCTGGGGATTATATTGTTTCTTTGGTGGAAACTTAAATGCTGGGTACGCCTCGCTGTCTTCCTGCAAAAAAGGAGGAGAAAGGTTACTTATCTGACAAAATTAATACAAACATGATAAAAGAAAGGACTAAATAGATTCCTCAAAGTGAGGTCCTTACCTGGAGCCTTGGGACTTTCTGTTTGGAAGCCATGTCGTCTACTGGGTCTTTTAAACCTTCTTTCCTGCAATGAAGAGAAAAAAAGACATTACTCACCTGGAATGTATTGCTTCTTTTTGTAATGGACAACCAGGTTGTTTACCTGTGATTTTGGGTTTTGTTTGGTTACCTGCAGCATCCCCTGAATTAGGTGGTTCATTTGCAGGTACTGGTTATAAAAAGTTTTATATACTTTGATTGTAATGTGGGCTGCACAGTGGCGCAGTTGGTAGAGCTGTTGCCTTGCAGCAAAAAGATTCTGGGTTCAATTCCTGGCCCTGGTCTTTCTGCATGGAGTTTGCATGTTCTCCCTGTGCATGCGTGGGTTCTCTCTGGGTACTCCGGCTTCCTCCCACAGTCCAAAAACATGACTGTCAGGTTAATTGGTCTCTCTAAATTGTCCCTAGGTGTGAGTGTGTGTGGTTGTTTGTCCTGTCTGTCCCCTTGTTGCCCTGGCGACCTGTCCAGGGCGACCCTGCCTCTCGCCAGCAAGGATAAGAGTGATAATTAATCATTAAGTTTGCATGCTCTCCCTGTGTATTGTGGGTTCTCTCCGAGCTTCCTTCCATAGTCCAAAAGCATGACTGTCAGGTTAATTGGATACTGACAAATTCTCCCTAGGTGTGTGTGTGTGCATGGTTGTTTGCCTACCTGTCTCCGTGTTGCCCTGCGACAGACTTGCGACCTGTCCACGATGACCCGGAACATTAGCTGGAGATAGGCACCAGCAAGTCTGTCTTCTTGTGGATTATTATCATTACAGATAATGATGGCTGGAGGAGTGGATTCCCTGTTTCCACCTCCCGGTTTTGGAGGTTCTACGCCAGGAAGTGGACTAGGACGGCGTCAGCGGTGCTGAAGAGAGGACCGCTGCCCCCTAGACTGTCCAACTTCATGTTCCCAGCATCCAACCCCTCTCCGTCTTCCTCCGTGTCTTTTCCTGTTTCAGTCTCCACTCCACTCTTCACGCCAGCTCCACCTCCAGTGGTCGCCACACCTTCTCCGCCTGTCCCCACCCCGAAGTTGCGCACACTGTCTGAGCTTCCCAGTGCTCCCTGTGCTCCGTCCAAGTTTCCCAGTGCTCCCTGTGCTCCGTCCAAGTTTCCCAGTGCTCCCTGTGCTCCGTCCAAGTTTCCCAGTGCTCCCTGTGCTCCGTCCAAGCTTCCAGCTGGTGGGCCCCTCTGCCGGCCTTCCAGAGCCTCCAGCCGGCCCCACGGGCCCAAGCGCCTCCTGCGGCGGCGACCGCCGGAGCCTCCTCGACTCCGCTTCCCGGCGTGGAGTTCGCCTCCTGTGCCATGGCCGGCCCTCGTACTGTTCCTAAATCACTAATTTTTGTTTGAAACTTATTTTTGCATGTCAGAATAAAAGTTTCAAACAAAACAAAAAATTGTGATTTCAATTTTTAAAAAAAAATCTTTAAAAAATGTTTTGTTTCGTAAAAAAATATTTTTAGGATTAAAAAGTTTTTAAGATTTTTTTGTTTGAAAATTTTTTGATTGAATACTACTTTTTTGTTTGACATTTTTTTTATTGAATAATTGTGAAACAAATCTAACTCCGTAGTCTTTGTTTTTATTATGTAAAGCACTTTGAAATGCCTTGCTGCTGAAATGTGCTGTACAAATAAAATTTGATTGATTGATGATCTAAAAGCTAATGTAAAAATACCTACAAATTATAAAAAGGACTCAAATCGAATATAAATGAGTGTGCCTCATCTATACAGACTGGTAGAACAATTTCACACTAATTTTGAATCAATAGGTCACAAGACCTGGTAGCTATTGAAGAAAAATACAAAATATTAACAAAAAATAGCTAAAAAATAAAAAATTAGTTAAAATGGAAAACAAATTGGTGTGCCTGATCTCTATTTGTAGAACAAATTCACACTACTTCTGGGTCAAAAGGTCACGAGACCTGGAAGTTATTGAAGAAAAATACTAAATTTTGACAAAATAATTGCTAAAAAAAAGAAAAATAGTTTAAAATGGAAAACAAATGACTGTGCCTCATCTATGCAGACTAGTAGAATTATTTCACACTGATTCTGGGTCAACAGGTCAGGTGACTTGGGATCTATTGAAGAAAAACACTCAATTTTGACCAAAAAAAATTCGTAATAAAAGAAAAATGGCTTAAAATGGAAAACAAATGACTGTGCCTCATCTGTAGACTAGTAGAATTATTTCAAAGTGATTTTGAGTCAACAGGTCACATGACCTGGAAGCTATTGAAGAAAAACACTCAATTTTGACAAAAAAATTCCTAAAAAAAAGGGAAAAACTCCTGTTTGTATTTATATTCAAACCCGCAATTTAGCAAGATATGTAAATCAGAGCTAGACCAGGCATATTTTGACTTTACAGAATTACACTATTAAAAATATAAACAAGGGCACAATGCAACCTTTAAGTGTACTGTAATCTATAAAAAAAGAGCTGCCTGTTTGCCACACTTGCAGTGGAGATGAAGATGGTCCATTCAGGAAAGCAGAGCTGCATCAAACTTTAATGTGGAACTGCAGAAAAAAAGAAGAAAAAAAGAAAAAAACAAAAGCAAAAATTAAATTGTTAATGCATGTCACCATGAGAAAAGCCTACTGAGTTTTGCTTAAAAAAAAACTTTAAAAATTAAAATCACACATTTTTGTCTCATGAAGTGAAAAAATTATTTGCAAAACAAACTTATTTGTGCATGTCAGAAATCTTTTCCTGCTATTCTAAGTTTTTGTTTGTGACTCAAAGTTTTACTTGTGATTCTCACATGATGTCGTCGGCAGGGCCAAAAATCACAACAAAAGATTTCTGATGTGTGCAAATAAAAGTTTATGTTTGGCAAATAACTTTTTAAGTTCACGAGACAAAAATGAGTTATTTAATTAAAAAAAGTTTTTTAAACAAAATATTTTTGTTGTTTTTTTAAAAGAAATCATTACAATTCCAGACGTTTTGATTACA